ACATTGACCTTATTATTGTATAAGCTGTTGTGTTATATATCATGTTTCCCGAAATTTTAGTTTAAAGTTTCAATGTCCGTACAGTATACGGAGAGGTGGGGGTATGTAAACTTGTGTCGTTGCTTTTGTCTTATTTGTGTATTGACTTTCTATTTTTGATTTCCTGTTACTTTGTATTTATGTAATAAGAATTCGCGGATAACAAAGCTGTTTTTGTGAAGATTATGTATATTTTAGCGTCATAACCTGTCAAAAGATAGCAACATGTACGAACTATGTAAATATCATGATTCTACTCTTGCGTAATGACATCATAATCCTATATCAAAACTTTCGTCACTTTGTGAAGTGGCATCACTGAAAATTTAGAGCCAGACAGATATAAATGTTGCATTTAACAATATTTCTTTCAATGTTGTGTGTGCCTTTTCGCCTGCCATGACTGTGGTGTTTATAAATCGAATGTTGAATGAGCATGTTTCGTTTTACTCACATTTCGTCAAAAGTACAAAGTGTTGTTTTCTGACTTTTACTAGTATGATTTTTAAAGTTATTTATTCTTTCAATTCTTGTCATCTTCTTATGTTCATTGAAATAAAATACAATAAAACCACACAACTGCACATTTTAACAAAATATTCTCGTTCAATAAAGTTGTTTACAAAATTTCAGTGAATGTAGTTGATTATGTCTTCTTAAAGCGACAAATAATTTAACCTCATTATAATCCTACCCGCTCCACGGGAATCCACACGGACCATTATCTCCTAACAATATAGGGCTGGACACAAAACTTTAAATATTGTTATGTAATAGATTTTTCAATGGAACTAAAGCAAACTCGCTATTATTGGCAGACCAATTATAACTACTGAAAGTCGAAAAACAGTTCATTTTAGGAACATTCCCATAACAATATAAAGAAAGGATTAAAAGATTTTCGCTGGGTCTCTATTTTGTTTGTGAAAAGACAGCCCAGCGGGTATGCGAGTCTGAATAAACTCTACAATTTTGGCTGAGTTTAAAGTTTTTTGTACGTCTCTCTAGGGGTCATTTTGAGATTGATAGTTAGTAACACTATCAAAAAACTATCTCAAGAAAGTTTTATCAGGTTTAATTGTATTTAATTTTGATGAAAATATCTCTTTATAACGAAGTTGTCACTTTTTATATTAATTCAAATTAATTCGTTATGCTTTATAGACTTACCACATGGAGTGCATATAGATATCATGTCACTTTTTGGAAATGAAATAAAGAGAATGTATTGATAATTTCTGATAGATGCAACAGGTGATATAAAAAAAGTCTAATATAAACCGAGTCAAGGGGAAATAACTGCCACTATAGAGACCGAATTAATTATTGGAGTTTTAATTAATAATATATTTATTTCTTTTACAGCAAAATGTTTTGGTTGATCCTTTTGATTATGTGTTTCTTTACTATTATGCTATAATTGTTCGATTTATTTTATAAGATCGACTAAACTCCAATTTCCGATCTAAATTAAATCAATAGTGAGCGAGGTATAAGCTTCATGATTGTCACCCATCATGCCAATAGTCCTTCCATATTACGACCGATCGGATCCAATGACCCGTGATGGGTGAGTGCCCTTGCGACAACTCCTTGAGATGCTCATACGCGGCCTGCTCCGGCCCTATCAAACAAACCCTCGTTTTCCAGTGATAGTCCAAATTTCTCACACTTCCTTCCGGTCGACCTTCCTTGCAAAGACTACCTATTGTACTGGTTGTTAATTTTTTTTTATTAACATTTAAAAAAGTTCGTCTAAAGTTCGTTAGTTCCTGGTATAAAAAGGTAGACAACTACAGTTAAAATATACCTGTCAATTCTTTATCTATGATAGCTAAATTTGTCGGAATTTCTATATATATTGAGTTAGCAATGGACAATGAGATATTGTCTCGGTAATATTTTTCTACGGGCTCATCCGTCTTTGTGACAATGATCATTGAATGGTTTGATTTATAGTTTATAAATTGAGAAATAATGGATAATACGGCACCTCCTACAATTTAATCATTTTTAATACCGTTTTGTTCCAATGTTTAACAAGTGTGAGAAGTAAAATGTCTCTGCATGACACATGGGGTATTGTTCATTGATATACCATTTTACCCATTTTTAAAAGTAGACATCAACGTATTATTATAATGTTAGTTTCGAATAATTGTTCAATGAGTAGTTATGTTGACAGAATGTCTAAAAAAATTAGAGGGGAGGTTTTTCAAAAATATGTCTATTTAGTTTTTGTGATGGATGTATTCAAAAATGTAAATTGATACATAAAAGGTAATATTGGAATTGAGCTCAAATCCTTAACTTTAACGGAAATTTGTTCGCAATGTCAATATTATACTCGGCTTCTCAAGATTTTTCAATACCTCAAGGATCTGTTTAAAAGTTTAAACACATACAAAATAAAAAGAGATATAATATATGTTTTAAAAGTACTTGTATTTTAAATTGTATAATAATTCTAAGTCAACATTTTCTTGATAAAAGTGTCAGCTAATTAAAGTAAATTTTCTATCGATTAAAACAGCTTTCATTGTATTGAAAGACTTTTAAAATGAAACAAAATTTTATGCATTATTCCGTTTTAGTCATCTTAAATACACACACTCTCAGAGATGATGACATCTTATAATGGTGTTTTGAGTATGCCATTCTTAAATTGGCTTTATGATAACTGTTTGACGACTTCTCCTAGGCACACTGATATATATTATACATCTTTTAGTGCAAAAACAGTTAGGACTACCTCCTTAAACGAAATAAGAGAATGTGGTGATTTTTTGTTTTAGTCATCAGGGTTACATTATTGGCTTTTTTGGTGTAAATTTTGGCTCTTAATTGTTTAATGTGAGCATACTGCTTCAGATATAGGTCACCGAACGGCCTACTACAATGAGTAAGACCAAAAACACATTTTTTTCTAGCATTTTTGACCGGAATTAAAATAGATTATACACGATCAACAATAAAGGTGTGTGAATTGAAGGTATGAATGGATATATATTATTTTTAACCCTTATAGCTTGCTGTGCGGTATGGGTTTTGCTCATTGTTGAATGCCGTACAATGATCTATATAGTTGCCAACTTCTATGTCAGTTGGTCTCTTGTAGAGTGTTGTCTCATTGGCAATCATATCACATCTTCTTATTTCTAGAATAATTAGGATACCGTTTATTTATATCTATGTCAATAAAGGTCAGGTAAGAACAGTCGAACAAAGAAGTGAATCGGACATCATTTAGATTCAAATGACCTCCAAAAGGTGTCAAACCAGGTGCGTCGACAGGATATAAGGCATATATTATTGTACCTACAAATCCAATACTATCAACGGTTTTATATTGGTAGTGCAGAGTACCATTGAAATTAACCAATGAGCTAGGAATAAACATAAGAATATGTGGTACGATTGCCAATGAAACAACTATCCACCAAAGTTCAAATGAAGTGGATGTAAGAAATTATAGGCAACCGTAAGGCCTTCAACAATGAGAAAAACCCATACCGTATAGTCGGCTATACAAGGCCCCGACATGAAAAATATGAAAGAATTCAATTGAGAAAACAGCCTAATTTATAACAAAACAATTTACAACAAAATCAAATATGACAGACATGAACAAACGACAACAACTCAACTACAGGCGCCTGACTTAGGACAGACACATATAGAATGCGACGGGGTTTTAGTGACTCATATACCAAATTAAATTTTCTCGAAGTCAGCACGGATGAACAATTATGGACCTATCTTCAGAGGTGTTATTTCACTTAATTGTTAGTTGATCGTTTTGTGTATGTATTGGTTGTCTCCCAGCAAACTGCAGTTGAACATCAATGGAAAGATTCGGGTGGTTGTAGAGAATATTTTCTTTGTACCTTCTATTGTATCAAATCTTTTTAACAGAACTCGAGTACCAATTGCATACAACAAAACTAGTATACGTATACATGACACCAGTCTTTGGAAGGACCAGCAGTGGGTATACTGGAGAACAAAAGTGTGGAAAGCCACAGACACAAAGCTTTTGAGAGAATAAAAAACGAAAAAGAAAGACCTGAACAGAACCGACAAAACCGTCCATGGTCAACATTAAGAGTGAGACAAATAACATGGGACATACAGAATGCTACTCATAAAGGTATCTGTTTGCAGGAATGTGTTGCATTTGTCGTATTGAGGAATGGTGTATGCTTATCTTTGTGTTTATATTGTATAAATTCCTTTGCAGTTTGAATTTTGTTAAATCACAATATGATTGGTTTTTCGCCAAATCTATTAGGAATATTATACTCAAAATTTATCATTAAATCGGAGGAGAATAATTGTATACCTGATTATCCTATTATTTAGGATAAGTTCAATTTGAAAATGTGGGTAAATCATAACCAAGAAGGTATCGTGGTAGAAGTTATATACACTTAAAAAATACTATTTGCAATGTATTTGTAATAAATGCAATACAAATTATTTTTCTTAGAAAATGCCACCCAAGGGAAGCTATAACGGCATTTGATAAAAAAGGGGTCATTTATGTACATTGAACGTCTTAATAGTTTTATCCCAAATACTTATGTGCTTATGATAATCACCTGCTATTACGGGCTTAGGTTGCGGGTCATAAAGGGAAAAAAACACCCAAAAAAATCAGCAGAATATACTGAAAATTCAATCGATTTTTTTGGCATTTGACTAATTAAATGTACAATATTTCAAAACATCAAGAGAACCAGAATATAACACTTGTATTCTTGGCCCTTGTTAGCATGAATTTGAAATGAATAAGTTAGAAATAATCGAACTTTACAAACCATACCAAACATTATTGAAAAAAGTTGTAAATGTTACCATGAATTTGGAAGAAAAACCAAAATATTTTTTTTCAATTCAAATATAAGATCAAGAACAATTATGAATCTTAGACAACTCATATAAACATAAATAATATAATATAAACATTTATAAATTATTTTATTTTCTTCATACGTCAAATTATTGCACAAAATTGAGGTATATTAACCGTCATATACATCTTTAGCGTTCATTATATTATTTACACGGTGCCGTATTAGCACTAATGTTTTTAAAGTAAACACACTAATGAGATTCAATCGGAAATATCGTAAATATCACATTAACAATCTTCAATAACATTATTAACAAAACAGTCATACACATGTATGTTCAAATAAAAATGCACTATATCATTTGATATCGGTTGATCAAGAGAACTGAAGCAGCGGCTGTTGATGCATGGCAAGACTACAAAAACTGTTCATAGGCAAATGTTCACTAGATTGAGACACGTTGGTGTTCTGACATACGTACCATTCGTTTAATTGCGACAAACTAGATTGCGGAAGTGTGGGCGTTGGATGAACCGGAAGTGCTGGACTAGTAGCAGAAGACATAGGTTGCTGGTCGTGGTGTTGACTTTCGGAATCACTGCTGCAAGGTGATGATGATAATGGCTGCATAGACTTTAGGGAATTTGGACTATGGGTAGAGTCACTGTTTTCACTATTTTCATCGTTAGTAGAGAATTCGTTGTCGGGAATAGGTGAAATATTACCGTGAATCTTCATGTGTTTTCTTAGTGAGCTAGGATGGGTGTATGTCTTCTCACAACCTCGAACGCGACAGCAGTATGGTTTATCGCTAGTGTGAACATGCGAGTGCTTCTTTCTATCCGAACTATTAGCAAATCTTCTGTCACATCCTGGAAACTCGCATGGAAATGGTTTCTCGCCTGAAAAAATAAATTAGGAGCAAATGAAGATTTCATTTTACTTTTGGAAACAAAGTCCTTATATGCATGCGTCCATTTTAGCTATATTGTTTATATGGTTATCAGATGTACACTCAGGTGTTAAGTAGATTTTACATTCTTAACACGATATGAAATATTAACATGGCAAATGACGGAATACCCGGGTACAAGTTTAAACATTTGTAAAAAGCTGTCACTAAAATTGGATGAAAAACTAGTACCGTCTGTGGTTAAGATTCATTTATTTTTATTTTTTGTACAGCAACAATATATTGCACTAGTGCAAGTAAAGCTTCAACTCAGTGACGTAGTCGGTGACAAAAATGTGTTTTGAACAGTTTTTCAAGCTTTGCTATTCAAAAGTTGTTATTACATTAGTGAATATTATTCTTCGCAGAAAATATGTTACACTCGCAAGCTAGTGCGAAATATAAATATACTCATTACAGTATTCACAAATCTTCATCCTATAACCCGATATTATTATTATCAAAACTATTTCATTTTTTTATTTTATAAAGTTTTAGAGTCGCTGTCACATTGACGTATAACCAATATTTTTTTGTTTATTCCCAACTAGTCGACGAAATCTTTTTGACTTGTTCTCTGATAAGAATGTGCTTTACCAGATTATTTACATAAGATTTTCTTTGAAGACTGTTCGTGTGTCCTGTAGACGGTAATAAATGTCCAACAAAACTATTTCCCATATAAATTACTGAGGGAACTAAGCATCTTAACAGAGTTTTAAAAACTAAATGACTTTTGCAACTTGTTGATACAGTTAAGAATTTCTGTTTTGCTAATTATGATATTTAGTTCCTGGTATCGGTGACTTTTATTACAGGAAAAATGTATAAATTGTTGAACCAGCGTGAGAAAAAAATTAATGATTTTTTCACTATTTTTCCAGCTAAAAAACTTTCTAAAAATTCATAACAAAGAGACGGTCAAATATTAAAATTTATATTATCCTTAATAATGTCTTAATTTAAATCATCCGTTTAACACCTATGAAAAATAAAATGTTAAATGTAAAAAATGCAGTTAGTTATGTTCATTTTTCTTTAGCCCGGTTTATTTAATTGTAAATATATTTTTCCAGTTTAAAAAATATATTTTGAAATTTTCCAATTGTGAATTGCAAAATTATAAATAAAAAAAAAAATAGATATTCCATTAAATAAAAATATATAAAAAATCAAATGAAACCTACCTGTATGTGTTCTCTTGTGGATTTTTAAGTTTTCAGATCTGGCGAAGACTTTGCCACAGCCTGGAAATGGACATGGAAATGGCTTTTCACCAGTATGGACTCGGATGTGGTTTACCAACTTGTACTTTGCCTTAAATGGTTTTCCTTCTCTAGCACATTCATGCCAGTAACAAGCATGGTCACTCTGCTCTGGACCTCCAACATGGTCAACAGTTATATGCGTTACAATCTCGTGCATGGTGTTGAACACCTTGTTGCATGGCTTCTTGGGCTCCTGTTGATCACTTTCGATCCATAAACATGTGTGTTCCTGTTTAATCTGGGGTCTCATATAACGAAAGAAAGCACCGGGACTGTGAGACGCAATGTTCATTGGATTCATAGCGTTCATATGCCCCATACCAAAGTGTTGCGAATGTCCAAATGGCTCAGGTCTCGCTAGCTGATTAAATTGATCGGCTCTAGAATAAATGTCTGATGCAAATCTCATCTGGTCATTGTAATGTCCTGAATAATGTGATGGCTCATGATAGCTAGGAAACAAAACTCGATTTGTGCTGTCTGGATATGCGAAGCCGCCGCTGGACGGATATATTGCAGAATGTGTTGTACTGGTATCAGGAAAACTTAAGTCTGGACGACGGAACAGCAAGTCTCTTGATGTGTAATTACTGGCAACATGATGTGACATTGGTACACCATATCCATTCGGTGGTGAGCTGTACGGTGAATTGGCTTGGCTGTGGATACTGCTTTCGATCACTGGATCTGACGGACTCAGCTTTAAGGCGCCGGGTGGTAGGTGTGGATTGTGCGAGGTATCCACGTACGGGCTGATCATTTCGTTGCTTCCTCGGTTAATCATACGGAGATTAAAATCCTTTCGATTTCACAAATCGCAGTGGAGGTTATATTGTTGACTAATAAAGTCCTCAAAAGTTTATGTTTCGCTTCTTCTCACACTGTTGATTGCAGAAAAGCAGCTGCGCTGTGAATCTCTCCGAGAAGTTTTCGAGATAAAAACTCAGTCGGATCCCAATAGCAGGCCTGGAATTCTTAATTGTAAAAAAATAACAGTTAAATGTAAGATACTCCTATGATCGTTTTCAAACTTAGTCATATGATGATGGTTTCATGTGGATAACAGTGGTATTTATTGATCCTTATTCAGATTAAGTTGTGAAAAAGGCGGGGCTTAATTATTGAGTTATTTGATTGGACAAAAAGTAAATACGCTATGTTTAATCAAACTCCTCCCACTTTTTGACACTTTATTGCTGATTATTATTAACATCTGTTTTTCATCACGTCAAAATTCATGAAAAAAATTAACAACAAAAAATAATGAATTTATGCAAAAACTTCATTTCAATTTCAGCCTTATACTATTTTCTGATATTTTTTTTCTAATAATTCTAAATTTTGCATTTTTTATAATAAAATTTATCGTAAATGTTTTTTTTATTATTACATTTAAAATTAATTTTATGCCTAATGTGTTTTTTAAAACATTATTTGTAACTAAGGTAAAAAAATATATACCGCTGTTGTCTGTATAGTTGCAACCACCATCGTTCATATCTGTTGTTATCGTGTGATAATTATGTATATTGCGTTGTTAGCTCTGGTTGTTACGCATGCATATGATTTTTGTGTCTTTTAAAAAAGTGTCTCTTGATAAAGTATTATTTTATCTTATGATTGGTAATTTTTCTTTATTTATTTTCCTCATTATTTTATTTAATTTACAATATTTTGTAAAAGATCTTTATAAATGTGTTTGGATATAATTTAAAATTATTCATATTTTTTTCTTTGCGATACATATGAAATTCACTCTCTGGTGCTACAAATTAAATGAATACATCCTCAAAATCACTAATTAAGTAAAAACTGGTTGCAATAGACTCATTTTTCCTTAGAATAAGACATTTCCTATATATAGACATATTAACACTAGAGTCTTCTTCCAAGCAATATGCTTCTATAATGAATTGATGTATGTATGTCGTGACGCAGTCGTAAACAGACAAAACATTACAAAGTTGAAAGGACAAAAACACAAAACTGTTTAGTTTGCAATATATAAGAGAAAATTCTTGAAATTTTTTTTTATACGATACATTTATTTCACAGTTTAGGACTTAGTTTAGGATATTTTTCTTCAGATGCATCAGATTTTAATCATACAAAGAACTTTTATTTTAACACCATGAACCCAGTCAACTTTCAGTTTCCTTATAAAACAAATATTTTATCATATAGTTTGATAATAAATTGGACTAAAAGAGTGTTAAATATATTACAGATCATGAAAAACACATTTTTTTTTTAAATTGTTTGTTTATCAAAGATAAAATTTATATCTCAAAATTAAATTGGACATTTTGTCCAAAGACCCCCTAAATATGATTCAGTTACAAGTAAAAAAAAATCCTTAGGGTGCATGATGAGCTTAATTGCAAAGAGACATTATCAAGGAGTCTGCATGAAATACTAAGAAGAGTTTGCATCAAAGACATCAATGAATTAATTTGTATCAGAGACATATAATATTATATGTCTCTGTTTGTATATAATAGACTATACATCGCTTTACTTTCGATAGAATGTAGTTTTGGTTTAAATAATTATTCTTTTCATTTTTGCCCAAATCTTTATTTCAAAGTGTCAGTTGTGACCGATCTTAAATCATGCATATGTAGGTTACATGTTAAATAAAACCAACATACATATAATTTTGATACAAATTTAACATGCATATAAGGATGTGTGAAAATGCCATTTTTAAAACTGACTGATTTTTTTTTTGTAAAATGGAATTAGTGTGTAATAAATTCAGGTGAAATTGGCCCTACCACTAATAATAAGTACATGTAAAATTTTCATATTTACTCTCTATATTTCAATTTTAGAGACTGATCCAAAATACTTGTGCAATAGTTTTCAACTTTGGTCAATTCCAGCTGGTTTTGAAAACAACATTATTGTAATATGTGTTCATCATAGGCATTTGCTAAACTTTTCATTAGTTGATTTATTTTCCTTAACTGGCTAATGGCAATAAAAGTTCAATCTATAAAGGAGAAAAACATATCCATTCATCTGGTTATATGGTAGCTTTCATTAAAATATTGACACATTTTTAAAAAATGCTTATATTTTGGTCTGGGAAAACAAGATTTATCTACTAGTTGAAATTGGCTTGTACTTGCTGTCAGTAACTGCCCGTAGTCTTAGGTCGGTTCGTGGTGGTTTTTTTTTCTTTTTGTAAGTGTATTTTGTATGATTCGTGTCGATGTGAAGAATCATGATTTTTTAACTATTGTTATGTTGTGCTATTACACCACTGTCCCAGGTTAAGGGAGGGTTGAGGGCTCACGAAATGTTTATCTGGTATGGAGGATTATTGTCTCCTTGGCGATCATACCTCCTTATTTTTATATTGTATATATATTAATATGATTTTCTCTTCGCACTTGCTTAACATTTCGCCATGCCTTTTACAGCTTTCTATAGGTTTTGTCCATTTATGGAAGACTGTTTAAATTAATGTCCTCTTTATAGTTGTTTACATCGTCGTCCTTTTGTTTCTTGAGGATAGGTGTCTCGCTGGCAATCATACGGAATTTCCTTATTTCTTTATCGTTTGGTTTAACACAGTTTTTGTTGTTTTGTTGTTTTGTTTTGTGTTTTTATTTTGTTTTCTTGAACAGTGTACATAATTTCGGATCGTTTAATGATGTTTTCACGTAGAATTTGCTTGTTTCTTGCAAAATTTATTAAGAAATTGCATTAGTCATGCACATGATTTAAAGAAGTTCATATTTTTCATATTTGTTAAAGAACTGAAAAGTTTGTATTCCTTTTATTACATTCCCATGTCAAATATTGTAACATAAAGATATACAGGAAGTGATTTTAGGGTGTGAGTCTGTGCTTCGTAAAACTATACCCCTAATCAGTGTCATTCCAACTACACAACATGTTCGTGTGCCAAAACTCTATCCTGTCTAAATATTATTTTGATCATAATCAGATTTTCATGACAATAATCATCAACAAATATTAACTTTGCATTAAACCTAACTGTTGTTTTATCAATTCGAGTGTTAAGAGAAAGATTAATAACTGCGATAATCCACGAAAATCTTGTCTTTATCCTTCTTACCATTCCCACTTCGTTAATGTTTTACTGTGTCATAACGGTTTAAGCACATCTTGCTGTCATTTTTTCGCGTGAAAAGTAAAAGCGGATTAAACAAGGATTGTCGGACCGTTATGAACTGATATCTTTCACATTGAATACCGATCAGCTCGTTAGTGTATCTGTCAGATCTGTGATCAAATCTTATCTGTCAAGTTACATAGATTAGTGTTATAAAAACAACCAATATTAATGACCAATCATAGAAATAAACAAACAATCTATTCATGAATATAACACCTAAAAATTTAAGTCCTCGTGATCTTCATGTATCTGTATTTAATACATAAATAAATGCCAAACTTTTCTGGAAATATTTTTTTTATAAATAAAAAGATGAAAAAAAAACAACAACAAACTTTTTTTTTCAAAAATAACTGTTTACTTTCCAAAGAAGCGAATGCAGTATTTTTCAAAATTAATTGCATGATTGTGCATTTTTCTAAGAAGCGAATGCAGTAATTTTTCAAACGTAATTGTACGTTTTCCTAAGAAGCGAAGGCATATATTTTAACACATACTCAAAAATGTTTACTTTTCATATTGAAAGCATGAATATTATTGTTCCTCATCAGACTGGGTGTAACTTATTGCTTATTATTTAATGTCTTTATATCCCATTATATGTATTGTTCTACAATGAGTACATTAAAAGACCACAATTCAAAGACATAAATGAAATGATAAAGAGATGAGGTGCACAAATATATGTTTATTTCTGTTGGTTCCGTTTTTGTTAACGTGTTATTGTTGTTTAAACATATTATTGTTTGCAAAACTGTACCATTTTCTTTTCTGAGTAATTGCCAATCTTACCACATCATCCTATGTTCATATCAATTAACGTGTGCTGGCTGCATAAGAAATTAATGAAACATTGCAATGATATGAACTGTAAGTCAGGGGTGGAATATTTCTTTTCAGCATTACGAGTTCGTTTTTAATGGTACCGTAATATCACGAATAATTACGAAATCGAAATATATTATAGTAACAGTAATTTTATTCTTTATTGTGACAGTTAAGGAAAGTTCATTAACAATCAATAAAGGGTTAACAACAAAATGGATCCTAGAATGAACTATAGCAGTCTCTTTAGTTTTCTCCGCTATATCTGGGAATCAATCATGACCAGGCAAATCGTTACCTGTTGGTACTTTTTCAATTTATTTTAGCAAGTTTTCCAACAAAACTCATTTTTATGAATGAACATAGTCATTAATTTTTTTGAATTTAGAGTCGGATTTTGTCAAAATCTATTTAATTCATATTTTTTTTTATCTTCTGTTTATTTTTTCTTTGGACTTGATGAATGCCAAAAAGCTCTCTAATTAAACAGAAGTTATATGGATTCGAGCATACGCGTGCCTTTTGGAATACACGAGTCTTTGAAAGTTTTATTACCCATCCATCGATGTCGCGGGAAATTTAAAATCCGATTAAATTTTGACATATATACCAATGTTTTGCCACTGACACCGGATGTTGATTCAGTTGTAATTTACTTTTCTGATTATTAAAGAAATACATGGATGAAAAATGCTACTGAATTTGTATTCTTTATATAGACAAATTAACATATAAATCCGATAACAACTATATATCTTAAAGTGCTTGGTGTCAATATAGCATATAAAATGCGACGATACATATTTCATCGTAAGCCCCCGCGGTGAATGTGTATCGTATAGGAAAGTTTAAGGACATATGTTTCTTTATAGGTAGTAATATGTCTTTTTCTCATATTATTAAAGTAATAAAAATCTAAAATGCTAGAATGTGCTAACTGAACAAAGAACTAAAAATCGCTCACATCATTGGCTTTTTCTTTTTCCAAATTAACGGCTCCCAAAAATATTTATTTTTGTTATTTTTGTGTTTAACTTTTTGGAC